TATGTAAGTTTGCTGCCCCGTCAGCCATCTTTATTTTGTAAATAATAAATTATTGATTTATATTCTTTGAGTCTTGCCTGCCTGCCTGCTCCAAATGGGTCTCCTGCCTAGAAATCATCACAACGGTGTGATACCAAGGAGGCACGGCTTAAGAACCATTCTTTGTGTTAGCGTGTTTCGCTGCTGACTGCAGTTTCTTGAACAGGGTGACTGACATCAGGGTGACATCTGCTGCTGTGTCAAGGAGTGCGTCATGAGTGAGAACTTGTTCCAGCGTTAGTGAAAAGTAAACTTTCTTGCGGGCCCTCGTTCGGTAAGGTTACACAAAAATTGGTAATTTGGAGGTTCCTCTGGGAACTCAGAGTAATTGTTCTCAAAATAGAGATCCTCGGGGTTCATTAGAACGTTTGAGATTGCATTCAGGGTGTGTGAATAGTCAGTCTGTTGTTCTGGAGGAAGAACAATGTCATAAATAGTTACAATCTGCGGTGGCAGGTTGAAGTTCTAAATCTGCATCTCGTTGGTCCAACGGTTGGTTGGCCAGAGAGGTCACTGACTGAAAGTCAGCACCTTTGGTGTCATTGTCTTGGCGTTTTTCATGAAGGAAACGTTTAATTATCTCAAGTTCTCTAGGAGTCAAGCTGGTAGACTTACCTATTTTTGTCTTGGGTGATCCTTTGTACTTTTCAGATCGTTTCTGACGTACTAAAGGTGGTTTTATTCCAGGTCAAGAGTGACGATCCTGAAAGGTGTGGGTCTGATTAGGAGAATGTTTACTCCCCTGAAGAGGTTTCCAAGAACCTTGGTATTTACCAGGACCTTTCCTTTGATAAGGTGCCTTAAGCTGGAAATAAGATGGGTTCTTGTCAGCTTTGGGAAAGATGGGTGCAGCTTTTGCTCTGGTTGAGTCAGTGTCCACACTTGCCCTGTTAAGTCCCAAAGTTGAGGGTATTGTGTTCACAGTGAAAACATTTTTTGGTTCCACTGGCTTAAATTGGTTCAGCTTTTGAAAAGCCCTACAGGCTAATTCTCTTAGCTGAAGGATGGTGAAGATTTGTGGGTCAGCAGAGATACCAAGTAAGTTGGTAAATGATTCATTGAGATTCTGGATGAAAAGTATTTTAAAGTTTAAATCTTCTTCCATGTTGGAGTAATTGTTATAACCAAGTAAGCATTGAACATCCGTTGAACGTCGTAACTTCAGTTTGGATGGATTCTTTGCTTCAGACAGTTGGTCCTGTAAAAATTTGATTTTTTTTTTCATCTTTAAGTTGTAAATGAGTAAGGCAGATATTATTTTGTTCAAGGATAAACTCATTGTTATAAAACGATTTCTGTAGAGTTGTAAGCATCTCAGTTTTAGTTTTGATTTCATTAGAAAGTTGAGGTTGTGTGTCAATCAACTTCTGTTGTAAATCATCATAATATCTTTGCATTCTCAGATATTCTTGATTGAGAAGCTTCAACTTTGATTCAGCATAAGATAATTTGTTTTGTAAGAGTTATTCATTGGACAGCCTGGAGTCATATTGATGTTTCAGAGTATTTTGTTTTTCAAGCTGGGAACTTAAGTGTAGGTTGTTGTCTAATTTGGTTGAATCAGAAAACAAAGAGATAGTGTCATCTTCTTTAGAGCTGAAAGCCATTTTTGTGACTTTATTTATTTACTCATTTAAGCAAAACAAAATTAAATTTAGGTTTTAACTTAAAAATTGTGTTTACTTCTGAGGTGTTGGTTAATTTAAAATTGTATTTATGAAAAGTTGTTTAAAAAAAGTGTTTAATTCTTGGAAGGAGCTTGGTTACTTCACTTTAAAATTAAAGCTAAATTAATAATTAAAATTTAATATCAACAAATATTACTTTAGTTTAATCAGCTCTCAAAATTTTAAAACATTTCCAATGTATGACAAATTATTTAGAGTGATTAGTTAAACTGAGTATTTCAGTTAAAATTAATTAAGTTTCTTTGGACAAGAAAAAAAAATATATTTTTTTATAAGTTAAAGCTTCCTATAGTTTAAAAATATTAATTTTTTGTGTAATACTTTCTTTGACCACTACGTACCGTAGCGCTGTTTGGAAGGACGGGTGTACTTTTAAAGGAAGAGGTGGAGCTTTGACGTTTCTCTTTCCAGGTCAAGCTCTCTTCAAAATGGTGGACGTTTGGTTTTGGAGCCAGAATTAGCCTGTGGTGTTTACACAAGCATTGTTAAAGTCACTAAACGAATTTCCAACTTCTTTTCGCGGCAAAACGAAGCTTTAACAAGCGATCAGTTTTTCAGCATGACGTGAAAGTCTTTTCACAAAATCTGGACGAACGAAGCGTTACTTTAGTAAGTAAGTAAGTAAACTTTATTTATATAGCACTTATCATAGATACAATCACAAAGTGCTGTACAACAATAAAGAAATAAAAGCTTAAAATAAAACAAAAATAATAACAACTCATTAATAAAAACAGTAAAAACAGCTGGTTAAAAACAGTAAAACATTTAACTAAAAGCTTGTCGAAATAAAAATGTCTTAAGCTGCGTTTTAAAAGAATCAACAGAGACGTTCACACGGAGAGACAGGGGCAGGGCATTCCACAGCCGGGGGGCTACGGCCTGAAAGGACAGGACACCCCGAGTTTTAAACCGGGTCTTAGGAACCTTAAGATGATTCAGCACTGAAGACCGAAGGGTGCGGGCTGGAGAATAGCCAGAGTGGACCTGTAGCTTAGCTTAGCTTTTCAGTTTAGCTGTTATTACCGATCCAAAAACGCCTTTTGGGACGGCTTGAAAACGGATTTTTCATCGTTACATTTTCACTATAAAGACGCGACTATCGGTTCACCTTAGTGAATCAGATTAGGACTTTTTACCATTTAAAGTGTCATTAAACGGGGCATTAGCGTTAGCTACACTAATTGCTAACGGAATCCACTGCAATGATTTTACCGTTCGTTGCGACTTAAAATCCAAACTATTTCACTTAAAATTTTGAAAACCGGATTGATCAGATCCTTACACCATAGATTTTAATCCGGCTGGACTGAATTGGTTATAAAATGCATGCAGAATATTTATTTTAAATGTAGAAGCAGACGCGGTGTGTGAAGTGTGACCCCACCTTCTTCACGGAGAGGCCCACATGCACACACACATGCAGGTTCGAGCAGACAGATAAACGCAGCAGAATGAGAAAAAAATGCAGCTTTAAAACACAGTTTTATGCTCACAATTCAACAAAAACCAGCATAGAAAATACTTTTTCTATCTACATTGTATAAGAATGCTCCTCTAACGAGCCTAACATGGCAGGCACCAATTATGTAGAGGGATTTGTGATTTGATATATATTGTAAATTATTAGTTATGAGTTAAGCTCATATGATATGCATTTATTATGTAAATAACCTTGTTGTGTGGGCACCACCTCTTTAAAAAGAAAAATTAGTCTCTAACCCTCAAATTAAATGTAACTGAAACGTGAATTCTTTCTCCTGTTTAAAGGGCATCAAATCAGTTAATACACACAGATATGTCAAAATAATCACAAATGTAGTTGATTTTTATGTATTTTATTACAAAAACAATAATGTGATGTATATAGCTGAAGATTATTCATAAAAATGAATACACAAATTAATAACTTACTTTGTGTCAAAGGTTACTTGATTATTAAATTCAGTGTAACTTTTTATAAAAGGCCGATTTTTGGACTGGTTCTGTTTGTGGTGTAGTTAAAATTGTGTCTTAATTAACTGTGGTGTATAGGAAGCAATATAATTGATGTATGATCACCAGAAAGGCATTGAAGGTCTCTTGTCCTACCAGAATGAGATGGTCAGAATGGTCCAACAGCTGCTTAAGAATGGTACCAGTCCAGATGTTCTGGTGACTGAGAGGCTGTTGTCTTCCTCACAGTTCACCTGTCATTTTGGAGGGACGAGGGTCCATATGGAAGTCAGCAGGGATTTACCACTCTGCGGCGAGGAGTTCTGGTTCAAATCTCAGGTTAATACCAGGTTCTGCTTCTGGTCCTCTTCCTTCCCAGGACATCTCACTGGGAGGAAGTTATTCTCTGAAGTTTGCTCAAAGTTCGTTGATGTAGAAAGAGTGGTGAAGTGGATGAAGTAGTGTACGAAGATGAAGAAGTGAAGTGTCTATCTGTGTGTTACAGATTGACTTAGGACCTCCCCTCAGAAGTGGGATGGTTCATGAACCTTGTGTTATGTTTTATAAAATCTACAGTCCATTTTCTCTGTCTGCCTTTTTAAAGTTACACTTGTTTTAAAAGGAGAAAAATAAACATGATTGTCTTAAAGAGATGTTACTTTGGGCACAGACATTTTCAATAACAAACATTCAGTCCTGAAGCTGTGGAAAAAAAAAATGCAATGTTCATCCAACAGGTGTCGCTGTTCATCTCCTGAAAGATAACGTCATTTAAAACAAAGGATTCTTTTAAAACTGTTATCTCCATGGGAAAATCCTGGGAGTAAACTCCTCGCTGATGAAAAGTTGAAGTCTTGGCAGGTGTTTTCACTTCGAGATCAATATGAAACACAAGCTCTCATTAAGACGATCTGTGCGTTTCGTGGGAAATGAGTTCTTATTGGCAGTGAAGTTAACACAGTGACAGTTTTCATTACATTATATTAGTGTCAACTAAGGAGTTTGTAAGCTGAGTTTACCACCTGTAACATAAAGTCGGTTTGTTCCCAAGGGAATAACTACATCTTTTAATTCAAAAAGCGTTCAATACAAAAACAACTGGACTTTATTTGTTTTTTTTCTTTCTTTTCCTTGATGGCCTCCCTTCTCCCCTTACAGCCATCCTCTCCACACCATTATTATGAAATATTTATTATAGTGACAATCTAGTGTAGGTTTTTTTTTAAATTTTTTTTTTTAATTTTTTATTTATTTATTTTTTTTAATTATTTTTTTTAATAGAATAGAAAGAAAGAAAAGACAAAGTAAGACTCCAAAATATAAGAAATATACACAAAGAGAGCACACGTCAAAACACCCGGCCACTGTCTGTTCACCTGCAAAGAACATGACAAAACACAGCAACAAAATACATATGTATAAAGAACTTAAAATATTCATGGCTTTGCAGTAAGTTTCCATAAATATATATACCCATACCTACGCCTATATACATACATACATACATACATACACATGAATATACACTCACATACATATCTATATATCTACATATAAAGCCTACATAAGCATCCCTGCTTCTATTTGTGCGTGGTTGTGAGCATGCATAAGTGTATAAGGCTTCTCTAATAGAACATTTATTAGTAACTGTGAAGCAGCAGATACCCGACCCCCAAGACCAGAGGCAGACGAGAAAGGGGGGACCAGAGCCCAAGACCCCAGGAGGGACCCCGACCGCGGAGCCCCCAGAGCCACCCACACAGGACGAACCACTCACCCACCCCCCAGAATGGACCACAGGGGAGAACCGGAAGATCCCCACCAGCAACCACATACAGTGACCCCCCGGGGCCAACAGCGACAAGCTCATAGGCCCCCGTCAGCACCCGCCGCACCGATGTAGGTCCAGGTCCAGGCACCGAGGCCCGGGCACCGAGGACTCACACCACCTAGGCCAAGGCCTGACAGGGCCAGAGGACCCGAGCCCCACCAGGCAGACACCAGGCCAAGCCGACACACGCCCAAGCGCCCAGCCCCCGATACCAAGGGCCCCAAGCGCGCCGGCAGGCAAGGGCACACCCCACCAGGGGGCCACGCGATAGGGGCGCGATGCCAAGCACCCCCAGTTGTATCAAAGAGAGGGCAGTCCGAGTCTCGGCCTAACAAATACCCATTCACACACAGACACAATCACACTATCCCAACCTCAATCTCACATTCATTCACTCAAAGACATACAATAACGATACATTTCATTCTTATTCCCGATACACACTCTATACCCCCCAGGTCCAAGACATGTACCCGCCCTCTACAGGGGGCAGCCCATGCCCAAACCCAGGAGGTAAACCCATTCATTCTTGAGCGGAGAAGAGCCAATACCCCAGACCCGGCCCAGGCCATGCCCCGCCGACAGGACACCCCCCCACCATGAAGAGGACACGCCACTGACCACCCCCACACACCGCCAACAACCAAGCACGCACCCCCAGCCGACCGCCCGCCAGGCCCCGGCAGCCACCCCGGCCAGCGGGCCAACCATGGCACCCAAGAGCCAAGCTCAGGGGGTCCAAACAACCCCAGGGAGAGCACAGCGCCAGCACCGCCCATGGCAACCCCCAGACCCTGAACCCCCACATAGTCCTGGTCAACACCCGACGGCCTGCCCTTCTCCCGGACCCCACCCCCGGAATGGCAGTCAGGGAACTAGGTGGGTAGGAAGAGGAAAAAAAAAATAATAATAATAATAAGACCCCGACACATACACCCCCACCCCTAGATGTGCTGTTGATGTGTGTTGTTGTATAGTGCCATTAAAAAGGAAAGAAAAAGGAGCAAAGGCTGGCATGGTGCCAGTTTCCCCTCCACCCCAACTCTATCCAAACCCTAGTGTCTAAATGCAACCTATAGAAAAGGGGCCCAAACTATTTTTCCATTTCTAACTTGGTTTAAGTTAGCTTTACATGGTAAAATATAGTTTGGTTCAATTGTCTGTTGTCTTTTAGACGAACGACTTGAGATTGGGTGTTTGGTTTCCCATAAATGTTTGGAAGTCTATGGCGAGACTCATCAAAAAGAATTAGCTATCCCCCCGAATAGAATTGTTCGAGTAGGTTCGGCTTAAGTGTTGTGAGACCAATGCAGATTATGGTACTTAAGGTAGCCATAATATACATTGACTCCGCAAAGATTGCAATTTAATGAATGAACTGCATGTTGGCATGGTTAAAGGCCTCTTAGTCTCTAACTTAACTACACAACAAAATTCATTCTTGCCTGGGGTATTCAAAACAATACCAAAAACCAATTAAGCGATGTCTCAACATCGACAAAAACAGTGACTAAGCAACCAGTTAAACAACGTTTCAACATTGACAAAAGCAGTGATTAAGCAACTAGAAAACGACGTTTCGGTGCGCCACTCACTCTGAATGTCAGATTTGATCATGTTATCGTGTCTGGTAGCATTATCCTAACTGGCGTCACCCCCCTTCGGTCATGGGAGACCGCAAACACGGGTGAGGACGTCGCTCCATGAGCTAAAGTTAGGCTGTCCTTGAGTAGTTTTAACTGTTTGCGCAGCTGAAAGAGGACTTTAAGTTCTGGATTGGAATCCAGTTTACCTTTCGATGGGGTGTATTTGTCTGGGTCAGTCAGATACAGTATAATCGATTTAATTGCAGGATCATCCAACTTCTGAAGTTGGATGATGTCTGCGTCAGTTGAAAATGACTTTTCATATTTTAGAAGAACTTGGCGAGGTTTGTCTCTTTCTTCATCAGATGTCAGAGTGTCGGCTTGAGCGACCACCTGTTCAATCTGTGATGAGACTGTTAAGGGTTCTCGCTCCTTGGGGAGCTCCAACGAATCCTTTTCTGAGTCGTCGGACCTGTCTATGGGTAAGACACCATAGGTTTGTGGTCCTTGGTCGACGTCATTGGTTGAGAAAAGAGCGATGGCCTGTGATGGTTTCGTGAAACATACTGGCCCAGCTTCTTGACTCGGTACCAGGTTATCTGGGAGTCCTCCCAGAACTGGAATGCCTAGTTCAAAATCATGAAAATCAGTTTCTGAGTTTTCAGTTTGCGATGACTCATCATCGTTTGTGTGTGAGTTTACCCCCCCTTCGTCCGATGAGGGGTTGTTGGAGGCAGCAACAGTAATGTCTTGGTGTGTTTCACCGACATCTGTAATGTTGTCATTCGCGCCTTCAGATTTAGTAGCGATCAGATCACTACATTGTGCTCCTGGTTGGATTCCCATTTCAGCGTTTTTCAAAGTTTCTACAAACCTTTGTAGTTTCTCTGTCTCCTCCGAGCTCAGAGGTGTAGGGCCTTGTTCCTGGGACCTTTGTGATTTCATCGCCTCGGTCCGTTTCGTCCGAGGTGGGGGAGGGTTAGGTACGTCTTTTGGGGGTTCCTCTTCGGACGTCCCCTGATAATATGGGTCCTCTTGGATCCCATACCTTTGCGTCCTACGCATGTCCCATATACGATAATCACGTCCATCCTCTGAAAGAGGAGCCTTTTTGTCCCAGCGTGCACCTTCATTACGTGGTTTGTTAGTTTGAAAATACTGCCTTTCCTCGCCTGTTTTAGGAGGAGGTGCAACAACGTCTTCCTGAGGTGTTTGTGGGTGACCTGGACTCTGTCCACGGTCTTCTCTGAGTTCCAGACAAACTCGCCCCACGTCAGAAATCTTGTTTGATGCTGCGGCCAGCTCCTCCTCACAAGCCTTCAGGCGTTCCTGTGATGTCCGACATTCACGTCGTGAATGCACAACTTCTTCCAGTAATATCTTTTTATGCACTTCGCGTTTGTGCAGATCTTTTTTAAGCACATCTGTAGCATCCCTGGCTTCAGATAGTGATGCCTCAAGTAATTGTATTTTGCTGTTCAGCGAATCAATTTCTGCACGTGCATCTTGCTGTGGTTGAAACATCTGTTCAGAATGTTTTTTTGTGAGGACTTCGTGTTCACTTTTAAATTGAAGGAAGTGTTCTTCAATCTTCTGAACCACCTCTTTTTCACTGTATAACCTTAGTGCAAGGTCATCAGCTTTCCTAACAACTGCATAGAATGATTCTTTCAGCAAAATTGCAATTCTAGCCAGCTTTTCATAACTTGACATTGTAATTTCTGTAGAGGTCACAACTTCTGCAACCTCCATCAGATCGTCCAACAACTCTTTTGGGTTCATGCTGTCTGCCCGTTTGCCATATGGATGTAAGGAAGCTGTCAGCAGCGCTAACACATCTTCTAAACAGTCCTTCATCTCATAAGGATCAAAGTCTTTTTCCCTGACACCTGTCATGGTTATTCACTGTTCAGCACTTTTTCTGGATAAAACAATTGCCTGCTCCAGATATTTTTACAGGTAAATAATTGTATTCAAATGTCAATGAGTTTCACACTATTTTAGCTTTGGGTTTACACAAAAGTACTGTTATAAGTCAACTTATTCAAATGTGGGCACCTGTCTCAGGTTTTACCCTGTAGTGAACTTAACCTGATGTCAAAACTAAGCCTAAGGTCAAAACCCTTGACCTTATGAACCTTGTGGGACAGAAACTGTCATTTCATTGATTTGAATCCAGAAATACAGGTTCTACCATCCTGAGACTTTCCTTCTTGAAAATCAAGTGAAAGAACACTCTCTTTTTATTATCATTACTATTTTACAAATGTTGATAATCAAAGTGTCTTAGTTCAAACCATTTTAGATGTTACAGTGAACTAATCAATTTTATTAACTGTGAAACAGTGTAATGATTTTTTAATCCTCATGCAAAGTTAGAATTCATGTTAAGTCTGTTACAGAGTAATCATGTATTTTCTGATTTCTGTCTTTGAATGAGCAAGTGTAAGTTTTGTCCAAGGTCAGGAGTCGAAGCAGACATGTTGTTGGAACAACTGTCTTGTTTACATCCTCTCAGACGTCAACGGAGGAGTTGGCACCTGTTTCTAAAACTCGCCAAAACAAAACTCTCTCTGTCTCTGAGAACAGTTTAATCTGTTCCATAACAATTCTTGCTGTTTTCTGACTTCTAGTAA